GGTGGGGGTTCTTGGGGGGCAAAAGCAGATGTGCCCAAAGCTGGACCAGGATCAAGGGTGGGCTCTGCCCAAGCCCTGCTGCTCCCTGCCTGGCTGTGACCTCCTGTCCCTCCCGCTGAGAATGGGGGGACCCAAAGCATAACCCGTGGGTGGCACAGCCCCTGATGGGTGCGTGGGTGGAGCGTCTCGCTGCTTCCCATGGGTCTCGTCCCCATCCACCTCCGGAGCTTCTGCTCTGCTGTCCGGGTGGGACACAGTGGGCTCCAGGAGTCAGGTCCTTTGGGGCAGAGTCAGTCTGATAATTCCGTGCCAATGCTCGAGCCCTGGTTTGTTTTTTTTTTTTCCCTGCAGGATGACGCTCGGCAGTTGTTTGCGCTCTCCTGCACCGCCGAGGAGCAGGGCATCATGCCGGAGGACCTGGCCAACGTGATCCGGAGGCTGTGGGCTGACAACGGCGTCCAGGCTTGTTTTAACCGCTCCCGGGAATACCAGCTGAACGACTCCGCTGCCTAGTGAGTACCCCTGCTCCTCTCCCCCAGCTCGGCTGGATCCCAGCCCGGCGGGCGCCATCACTTTTAGTGAGCAACAGAAAATCCCCTCCGGGGGCTGCTCGGGGGCTGGTGCTGCCACTTCCCACACCGGCACTGGGGCTGAGCCGGAGCAGAACTGGGAAGGCGGATGTTTCGAAAGCTGTTTCCTTCTCTGGCGGGGTGCTGCGTCCCCCCGGAGGGGGGTACTGGGGCATCCCCCTCCTGCCACTGCCCTGTCTCTGGGGATGCTCCCCCCGTGTGAGCACAGACAGGGGTCCTGCCCGCCCGTGGGCATGGGCCATGAAGGCAAGGAAAAGCCCCAAAGAAAGTACTGGGGACCTTTATATCTGAACAGGGTGCCCAAGAGGTTTTTTTTTCTTTTTAAATGAGTTTATATGGAAGGACTTGGCATTATGCTGGCGTATTAGCCAGCAAACTGGTGTTTGGGTAGATAAATTGCCTGCATCTGGTTGGGTTTATCCCTGAAGAGATTTATTAAATGAGTTAATCTGCCTAAAGTATGATTGCTGGAGAGGGCGGTGTGGCCGAGGCTGCGCTCAGCTCGCACGGTGCCCTCCCGCCTGCCCTCTCTGCCCAGACCCCTCCATGGTAAAGCAGTGCCGGGGGGAGCTTGTGGTGTGCCGGGAAACCCCCACCAAAGCCGGCCCTGTCGGGGACTGAGCATCCCTGGGACTCGCTGCCATCCCGGGGGCTTCTTGGTACCCCCGTGTGCCAGCGTAGCCGTCCCCTCCTCCTTGGCACCGGTGGGTCCCTCTTCTGCACTGGTGTCGGTGGGGGGAAGAGGATGGAGGGAAGCTCCCGGCAAGTGCCAACGCCGGAGAATCTTCTGCTGGCGCTTTCTTCTGGCGCCCACGGCTTTCGCTTCCTCCTGCCCGGCACCCAGCCCCTGTCCCGCTCAGCCCCGTGGCTCCACAGCCAGCGCCGGCGTTTCCCCGGCAGTGCCGCGCTGTGCCGTGGGTGCTGGGTCGGAGGCACAGGAGACCCGGCGGGTGCCTGGCAGCGTGCACGTACAGCGCGAGCAAAATGCATCTGCAAAGCGTCTGCAAATCGAGTATCGCCCTAAGTGCGTTTGTGGAGCGTTTGGCACAATGCGGGGGTTGGAGAAGTATTAATTAGGAGCCGCCTTTGAGCTGTTGCTCCAACCTTTCTCCAGCCCTACGGAGGTGCTGATGCCTCATCCATCCCCCTGGGGATGGGGCTGTGCCCACAGTGCCGCCGGCACGGGGCACCGTGGGCATGAGGACCCCCGTGCCGTGCCCGTGCCCCAGCCCTCTGCAGCAGCCCCCAACCTCCTCCTCCGCACCCCCTTGCTCGGGGTGCCGGTACCCCGGTGCGCTGGGTGCGAGGTCCGTCCGAGTGCTGCCGGCGCCGCGCACGGCCCTGCCACGGTGTTTCCTGTTTTTTTGTCAGCCGGAGGCCGCGTGTGTTTCCGGCTGTTTTTGAGTTGCTCCACGGCGGCGGCGGAGGCGGCGTGCCAGTTTCCCCCCCCTCCCCACCACCGGCAGCGGGGTCCCAGGGCACCCACGGCTCTGGCTTTGCTGCGGCACGCCGGAGGGCTTCCCGGGAGCTGGGGAGGCGGGCGTACTGCCATCGGAGCTGGGGA